GAACTGCTGTCTCTATTAAAAATGCAAAAATAAGCCAGGCATGGTGGTGGGTGCTTGTAATCCCAGCTACTTGGGAGTCTAAGGCAGGAGAATCTCTTGAACCCAGCAGGAGGAGGTTGCGGTGAGCCAAGATCACACCATTGTACTCCAGTCTGGGTGACAGAGTGAAACTGTCATTTAAAAAAAAAAAAAAAAAAAAAAGGAAAAAAGAAAAAAGAGATGTACTCTGAGCTTACGGGATTTTTCCTGTCACTTTGATATGTGAGGGGCTAATCAGTGGAGTTGTGTTCAAAGTATGGTTTTTGGTGGCAAATATAGATATTTGCCTAGACAGCTCCCATATCCCCAACAAATGTTTTTTAAATTGAAGTTTGGGTGGATCCAGTACAGTTTCATAGACTTCAGCAGTGGGAGTTAATAGACTTTCTTCTCCCCAGCATATTATCCTAAATATAGTTTAGCTTCAACCAGCATATTGGCTCTGGGTAATTTATTTAGCCTTTCTGAATTTTGATTTGCTCATCTGTAAAATGTGAACAGTTTTACAGATATCTGATGAACAATTTCATCAGATCGTGCAGTGGCGCGATCTTGGCTCACTGCAACCTCTGCCTCCCAGGTTCAAGCAGTTCTCCTGCCTCAGCCTCCCAAGTAGCTGGGACTATAGGCATGCACCACCACACCTAGTTAATTTTTGTATTTTTTTAGTGGAGACGGAGTTTCACCATATTGGCCAGGATGGTCTCGATCTCTTGACCTCGTGATCCACCCACCTTGGCCTCCCAAAATGCTGGAATTACAGGCGTGAGCCACTGCACCCGGCTGAGAATAATATACTTTAAGTGCTTTACATAATATCTGGCACCTAGAAAGCACCTAGTAAGTGTTACCTTTCCTGTCATTTATGACCATGGTGTTTCTCACTTTGAGAAGGGGTAAATGCAGTTTGAGGGAGGTGATTTCTGTAGTTAAGGGTCTCTTTTTAAGGTATCGGATAGAGGGTATTAGAAAAAAGGAAGGTTTGAAATGCTCTGTGTGAGCTTCTGGGCACAATAATTAACTTGTAGTTGTCGTGACTCTTCTGGAGGAAATGATGCATTCCTCTGTGAAATGTTTCTTGGCATTGGTATTTTGGGACATCCCATTCCCAGGGTTGTGGAGTGTGGGCCCATAGGCATTATCTCTTAACGTTTGGAAGGTCTCAACTACCAAGCTTGCCCTTATTCAAAAGGATATTCTCTGCAACAAGCCATGCCATTCTCTTTAGAGGAGGTGTAATGGGCAAAACTGTTTACACAGTATTAAGTTTCTATACCATAAGGTCATGCTTCTTTGGAAATCTCTCAGACCAGGAGTCAGGCCTTTGGTGAAGAATAATCCTGTGTTAGCCCTTTACCCCCTACTTCATTTAAAAAATTATTATTTAACAATGAGAAACATGATAAAGCAAAGGATTAAATTAAAAGGTACATACTACCCCTCATATCTTCATAATATATCTTACAGACATATGACTAATTAATAATACTATGTTTGTACAATCAGCCACTTATTTTATAGTTATCTTAACTCTTCCCTGTATGTGTGGCTACTTCTGTGAGTGTCCTTAGAACAATTTGGCTGGTCATGTGCCCAGATGGCATCAAGTGGACAAGTGGATCAAGGGCAGTTTTCTAAAAATGTGTGTGTATGTGGAGGGGGTGAGTCAGGAGCCTGCCAGCATGAGCTCTGTGTTGGCACTGAGATCCTAAGTGCCAGTTCTCAGCTGTCCTTGAAACTGCCCTTGACACAAGGGCATTCTCTTCTTTGGCCTAAACCTCTGTCTTTTTTGGCCTAAGCCCTGTCCAAAACTTAGTCTGTACTATAATAGTTTATAAATAAACCTGGTTCTTAATTGTTTATAACCATTTTTTTTGTTTTGGTTCTGATTTTGAGTAAAGAAAGGAGATCTTGGCTCCTTTTAATGTCCATATCTAATCATATTCCATTTGCAGTACCTAATTTTGAAGAAGGCAACACTGACTGAGGGAATTAGGAACAGTTTTAGTTGATAGTTGTGTGCTTAAAAAAAAAAAGATAGGAGAGAGAAAGCAGCCACAAGGGGAAGAGAGGTGACAGCAGAGAACAGGCCCAGGAGCTGGCGGAGAAGCCTGCTGAGGCTGAGCAAAGCTTCTGGGAGTCTTTTTGTGTTGCCACTGAGTGGCAGGAAGGCAATAATGAGGTATTAAACACTTGTACTTTAACGAGTAGCTGAGGAACAAGGGAAAAGGGGGACCAAATACATGAAAATAACGTAGAGCAGCTAGCAGGTAGAGAAAGTTATAAACCAGAGTCTAGAGAAGTGCTGGTAACAGTATAGTGAGCAGGCCTAAGCACACCATTCATAGTAAGCTATATCCCCCCTTTAACATTCAGCTGATCTTACCTTATTTAATCTTCTTAATGGCATAGTAGAAAGAACACTAAACAGGAGACTAAGTTCTAGTCCCAGCTCAGTCACCAGCTATTTTGGGGTGAGCGTGGAATGGGGGATGGAGTTTTCTTATCAAAAAATAAGGAAATTGGATTAAATGACCTAAGGTATTTTCTAGCTCTAAAAATCTATAATCAGCTATGTCAAAGCCTCACAGACTTAGAAATCCCATCATATCAGATCAGAGGCTAGAATCAGTGTGTAGTGGTGTATAGGACACTGAACAGTTGATATAATGAGTGTGAAGTCAGGGAGATGATGATGGAGAAAAGTGCTATTTCATGGGATATTTGGAACATTCTGTCTTGAAGAATTGCCATCTGTGATGTCAGAGGCATCATTTTAGTTGCCTGTTGAATTCCTTATAGAGAATTCTTCCTGGTGAGAAGACCTGGGTTCTTTGGGGAGTTGGATATCTGACCTGCATTTTCAGGGGTAGAACGCAAGCTGCTCTAACACTGACTCTCAGAGTTTGTAGTACTGTATTCTCCCTCTCAATACTGTGGCTCCGCTAATGCCTGTGGCAGTTGGGACACAGGTTGCCTCTTGGCCTGTGCCAGAATTGCTCTTTTACTCCTCTAATATTTATCACTTTGTCATCCTGGACTCTGAATCCCAGAGATCAAGACTCGCTGTAGTCCAGCAGAGGAGCAATAAATCATTGCTCAGACATTTTTTCCTCCAGGTTTCCTGCCCCTTAATTACCACATTGCCACTGCTGAGGCTGCATCTTCGTGGTGTGTTTTGCTAGGGACAAAGGCCCTTGTTGATTGGATGTGTGCAAAAGCTGCTTTGTCTCTAGCCATTACATTTTGCAGAGCTCCATGTGTGCTACCCATCCCTTTCTCTCGTTTCTTTGAGTTTATAGAGTCCGATTGTCAGGTAGTATATCATTAACAGGGCTTATCTAAGCTCTGGGGATTAGGTGGTGGGGTGGGCAGCTCCAACATAGCTCAGCAAGGTGATCTTCATTAAGGAGGGAAGTTTGGGTTAGTCATTTTTATGTGGATTTTAGCTAGCCTCCTTATTCCTGTGCTCCTGGTAGGAACTAAGCAGGTTGTGTGATCCTGAGTGGGATCCTTTTTTTTTTTTTTTGCCCCCAGTCCAACAGAACACTTGATCACTTAACACACACCATTAAAAGGGCCAGCTGCCTATCATTTGCCTTTTCATTATGAAACCCCAGAGAACTCAAGTTGGGGCCAGGAGTAAAGAGTTCATAAATGAAGATGCCTATTCTTTCATCCCTGGCAAGGCTTTTTTGCTATTTGAGGGGAAGATTTAGGCTTTAGAAACAGAATGTGGGTGAAGCCAGCCTCTTGTACTTTCTTTGCCTGCTGTTTCTTTACTGTACCTGTGCTTTTAAAGGATTGAGAGTGAGGGGTGTTGTGTGGCAGGCAGTAAGAGTCTGGAGTCTCACTCCTACTCATCATTCCCTGCTGTTCCAAATCAAAGCTCACATCTCTTCTTTAAGAGTAGTAAACTTCACACAAAACTCAGACAGCATGGGAGAATGAACTTCTTTGCTGGCAAAGAAGCAGATATGGTCCTAAAAAAAGAGAGGTCAAGCCTTTTCTTGGGTCTATGGAAGGTGGGAGTTTGAGGGGGAGAAGATGGAAGGACCACAGATTGCCCGCAGCTGCTGAATCCCTTTATAGTATCCCATCAAGTAGGGGAGGTGAGTACAGGAGCATTATCTGAGATCGGCAGAGAAGCAGGATTCATTTCATGGACAGAATGTGCTAGGTGAATGAGTATAAGGTAATTGATAACTTCTTTTATGCTTAAAATTTGTTTGCAAAAATGTCTGAAGCTGCACTGTTAGTTAACCTAGGGACTTGGCAGCAAACCTCTTTACTGAGGTTGCTTGGGTTTTTGCAATCTCTCCCCTCACTAAGGATTGCTAAGTAGAAAGAGATTTCAGTAAATGTTGTCACTGTCAAGAGAGGTCAGTGCAAGCTACACTTTGTTTGAAGAGTTAGAACAGTTAAGGGCTTTTTTTCTCTTTGTGAGCTCTCCTCACCTAGACCTGCAGTCCAGCTATAATAGCTGCCACATCTGGTGACCAGTTAGAATGGATACATGTTCCTCTTAGCATTGATGTCTGAAATGCATACATGTCTAAAGCCTGGTGATAATAGAAGCTAGCAGCTGAGAGTGGAAGGGGGACCCTCATTTTCACCTGTAAATTGAACAGATTTGATGGGGAAATCACCATGTGGGAGTAGATTTGAAACACCAAAATGTCAGTTTTATAGTCAAATTTCTGAGCTTAATTGCTATATAAGAAGTGGGAAAAAGAAGTAGATATTTAAAAACCTTCCATGAGCAGATAAGCATACACGTGCTTGGGAAGGTGAGTGCTTTCCTCAAATATACCTACCTTATCTGCTTTTTAAAAGACCTTGGTGGCTGTGACTTACTCAAACTCTGGATTTTTTTAGAGCTAGTCTGTTTTTATTTAGCTTTATTAATGATGGTTTGAATAGATTGTTGATGTCTCTTTTTCTCTCTTTTTTTTTTAAAGCCTTGATAAATTTGCTGAAGTTCCTTATGTCAAATGAGACTGTACTTTTGGCCAAACACAACATTTTTACATTAGCCCTTATGGTGAGTATCAAAACAAGTATTTATTTTTCTGAAGCCATATGCTAAGGCAGAAATGTTCTCGTTTGAAACAGGAGCTATTGGTTGGTCCAGGGACTAAGTCATAGAGGGAACCAGGCATATATATATATATATTTTTAATCAGAATCTGGACTGGTGGTCCCTACTTTCACCTATGTCTTTGGCAAACTCTGCATGACTCTCTTTCCTTCATGAAAGTATATTGTCTGGCAGGGGCAGGTATAGATTAGATCTCTGTGTATGAATAGTGAGCCTTGGTCCCAACTGAGACACTGCACTGTATACTACTACGGTCTCTATGCTGGTAAATAGCTAAGCCTCTGAGGGTTCCATCATGGCTGCACTTGGTTTCTGAGGGACATTACAGATACTTATTTATCTGGCTGGTTATTTGGGATAGAAGGAGGCCATTGTGCATTTTGACTGTCTTCTTAGGATATTATACAATGTGTTCTTGTTTTTTTTTTTTTTTTTTTTTTTTTGAGATGGAGTTTCGCTCTTGTTACCCAGGCTGGAGTGCAATGGCGCCATCTCAGCTCACCGCAACCTCCGCCTCCTGGGTTCAGGCAATTATCCTGCCTCAGCCTCCTGAGTAGCTGGGATTACAGGCATGCACCACCATGCCCAGCTAATTTTTTGTATTTTTAGTAGAGATGGGGTTTCACCATGTTGACCAGGATGGTCTCGATCTCTTGACCTTGTGATCCACCTGCCTCGGCCTCCCAAAGTGCTGGGATTACAGGCGTGAGCCACCGTGCCCGGCCCGGTCTCGATCTCTTGACCTCGTGATCCACCCACCTCGGCCTCCCAAAGTGCTGGGAATGTGTTCTTAAACATTCAACATTAGAGGGGAAAAAAAGTTTAGATTCATAGCATTTGCTGATTTTCATTGTAGAACTACACCCACCATGGCCAATTTCAAGCTATCAGTGTGACATCAGAGTCATACAGAGTTGGGAAGCAATGTGCAGTAGCACACCATTATGTGGTGTTTCCACCACACAGATATAGTAGGTATGAATCTCCAGAGCATAGGTTATAGTAAAAGGTAGAAAATAATTAGGGAAGGGATAAGTTTTTAGTATTTGCTGCTTTCATTTTAATATCATTTATTTAATTATATGTTTATATGAGTGAAATTTTTAATAATAGCTGTGTTTAAAAATTCCTGAAAATTTTATAGTCATCTCTTATAAAACAATAAGAGCTGGCTACAGCATACCACTGATAATTTCTGGTCTTCATAGCATGATCCCTATATATGGGCCTTTGCTTTGTTTTTAGATTGTGAACCTATTTAATATGTTTATCACATATGGCGACACATTTCTGCCAACCCCCAGCAGCTATGATGAACTTTACTATGAGATTATCCGCATGCACCAGAGCTTTGACAACCTCTACTCCATGGGTAAGCTGCCTTTTCTTTTTACTCCTTTCTCCATCAGTTGTCTAGCTTTTGGCATATAAGAGGAAAAGACTACAAAAGATATTCCTCTAGTTGTTTGGTGCCCTGTGTGGCACAGAAATATAGTAGCCTCCTCTTTTCAGGCAATAGGAAGGTACACGTGGGCCTTTTTGTCTTTAGGAATTCAGATTTTATCTCAGTGTAAAGCTGGTTAGCAGCCCTTTGTTGATGTTTGTGAGAGAGAGAGGGAATAGGGAGGCTTGTGGATTCATTGAATGCCAGGGAGAAGGAGGTGAAAGAGTGGGTGGGAATTGACAGCAGCAAATAAAAGAACTTGGATCCCAGAACATTGTGTAATTTGAGGATGTCCAGGATTTTAAGGAATCTTGGTGTACCTATGTATTTTTAGCATAACTTACAAGTGGAAGTGGGCATTAGATAAAAAGCTTTTTTTGCAAATCTTTTGGTGATTGGCTCACTGAAAATGTACTCTTCAGCTACAGCAAATATAACTGATTTCTAAAAGAAGACATATGTCCCTGTAAGTTTGAGATAAGGGCCTGGTTAATTCTACCTGTAGTTTAAAGGTTTAGGAAAAATCTCTACAGATTGCACAGAAACAGCCATTCAGTGAAACTATCTTATTTATTCATTTGTTTAGAAATGGAGTTTTGCTCTTGTTGCCCAGACTAGAGTGCAATGGCATGCTCTTAGCTCACAGCAATTTCCGCCTCCCGGGTTCAAGCAATTCTCCTGCCAAAGCCTCCCAAGTAGCTGGGATTACAGGCATGTGCCACCACACCTGGCTAATTTTGTGTTTTTAGTAGAGACAGGGTTATTCCATGTTGGTCAGGCTGGTCTCAAACTCTGACCTCAGGTGATCCACTCACCTTGGCCTCCCAAAGTGCTGGGATTACAGGCGTGAGCCACTGCATCCAGCCAAACTCTCTTATTTTTAAAACCCAAACTTATTAGCTTTATTGAAGTTAATTTATATATAATAAACTGCACACATTTTAAATATACAAATTTTAATGAATCTTGACATATGCATATGTATGTGAAACTATTACAGTGGTCAGGATAATAACCATATCTATCACCTCCCAAAAGTTTCCTTGTATCTCTTTAGAATCCTCTCATGTCTCCTTTATCATCTTCACCCACTGTGCCTCATCCCTGGCCAACCACTGATTTGCCTTCTGTCACTGTAGATTAGTTTGCTTCATTCTTTGTAATGAGATTAATTGTGAAAACCCCAACCTCTCTTTGGGACTCCTATATGATGAGAAAAAAGGAGAGGATTTGAAACAAGTACCCAGGAGAAAGAATAGAAGCAGCAGTGGAAAAGAAGGGTTGCCTGGGAGGACAATAGTTTTTTTCTAGTATACTTTATTTTTTAGAGCAGTGAAGGAAAACTTTCAAAAGAACTTAGTAAGAGAACCTTGCTATAATGTCTTAGTCAGTGCAAGTAGGGCCTTGTACTGGATGTTTTCAGTGGCAAGTGTCAGAAAACTCAGACTTAAAACTACCTTTTTTTTTTTTTGAGACCGAGTCTCACTCTGTAGCCCAGGCTGGAGTGCAGTGGTGTGATCTTGGCTACTTGTAACCTCCGCCTCCCAGGTCCTGGTCCAAGCAGTTCTCCTACCTCAGCCTCCTTAGTAGCAGGGATTACAGGCATGCGCCACCAGACCCATCGGACTTTTGTATTTTTAGTAGAGACGGGGTTTCACCATGTTGGCCAGGCTGGTGTTGAGCTCCTGACATCATGATCCACCCATCTCAGCCTCCCAAAGTGCTGGGATTACAGGCGTAAGCCACCGCACCTGGCCGAAACGATCTTAGAGAGTAGGAAAATTATATAACAGCCCTAGAATGGTATGTTCAGTTGCTGAGCAATGTCTGCAAGGACCCAGGTTTTAAAAATATCTCTTCTCTCTCATTCTCATTGTAATAGCGTTAGCAACAAGTCAGTTTTCTTTTTTTAATTTTTTTTTTTTTAGCGGGGGAGGAAGGCAGGAAGGGAGGGAAGAAGGACGGTAGGGAGGAAGGAAGGGATAAAGGAAGGAAGGAAGGAAGGAAGGAAGGGAGGAAGCGGGGAGGGAGGGAGGGAGGGAAGGGAAGGAAGGAAATCAAGCAATGAGAGAGACATTGCCAACCTGGATCTATAGGTTTACAAGCTGATTTCTGTTTTTTTGAGAGAAGGAAAGGAAAAAAAATAAGTAAAGGAGAGGAAGAAAGAGGAAGAAAAAGAGGGAGAGTAAATGGAAATATTGCTTTATTTTGAAAAAAATTGGGCATTAATAATGGCCAGTCAATGTTTCATTTAAACTTATGGGTAGGTGTGATGTGGTATTGACAAGAATGTATATTTTGTGTATTTGAAGTGGAGAGCTCTATAAATATTTATTAAGTTTACTTGTTCCGGATCTGAGTTCGAGTCCTTGATATCCTTATTAATTTTCTGTCTCATTGAATCTAAGTCTCGTATCTGGGTGTTAGGATCGTTAGCTCTTATTGTTGCATTGATCCTTTTATCACTATATCTTTGTTGCTTTAAAATCTATTTTATCCGATACAAGAATTGCAACTCCTGCTTTTTATTTATTTATTATTTATTTTTGCTCTCCATTTGGTTGGTAAATCTTTCTCCATCCCTTTGTTTTGAGTCTTTGTGTATCCTTGCATGTGAAACAGGTCTGGATGTAACATGCCGTTGGGTTTTGGCTGTGTCTTTTGATTGGGGGATTTAGTCAATTTAAATTTAGGGTTACTGCCATTTGATGTTGACTGGCTGTTTTATCCATTCGTTGGTGTAAATTCTTCTTTATGTTGGTGCTCTTTACTTTTTGGTGTATTTTTAGAAAGGCTAATACTGGTTGTTTCTTTCTGTGTGTAATGCTTCTTTCAGAAGCTCTTGTAAAGCAAGCCTGGTGGTAATAAAATCTCTGAGTTCTTGCTTGTTCATAAAAGATTTAATTTTTCCTTCAGTTGTGAAGCTTACTTTGGCTGGATATGAAATTCTGGGCTGAAGGTTCTGTTCTTTGAGGATGTTGAATATTGGCCCCCACTCTCTTCTGGCTTGTAGAGTTTCTGCCGAGAGATCTGCTGTAAGTCTGATAGGCTTGCCTTTGTGGGTAACCTGACCTTTCTCTCTGGCTGCCCTTGGTATTTTCTCCTTCGTTTCAACCCTGGTGAATCTAACGATTATGTGCCTTGGGGTTGCTCTTCTTGAGGAATATCTTTGTGGTGTTCTCTGTATTACCTGGGGTTGAATGTTGACCTGCTTTGCTAGTTTAGGAAAATTTTCCTGAATAATATCCTGAAGGGTATTTTCCAGCTTGGATTCATTCTCTCCGTCGCATTCAGGTACACCTATCAAACGCAAATTTGGTCTTTTCACATAGTCCCACATTTCTTGGAGACTTTGCTTATTCCTTTTTATCCTTTTTTTTCTAATCTTTTCTTCACGTTTTATTTCATTAAGTTGGACTTTGACCTCTGATATCCCTTCTTCTGCTTGAACAATTCGAGTGTTTAAACCTGTGCATACTTCTTGGAGTTCCTGTATTGTATTCTTCAGTTCCATTAATTCACTCATACTCCTCTCTAAGTTGTCTATTCTCAATAGGATTTCATCAAACCTTTTTTCAAAGTTCCTAGTTTCTTTATGTTGGGCTACAACATGTTCTTTTAACTCACCGAAGTTTGTTATTATCCATTCCTTGAAGAGTGATTCTGTCATTGGGATGCGCTCGTTCTCCATCAAGCCTTGTTCCATTGTTGATGTGGAACTGTGATCATCTTTAGAGGGAGAGGCGTTCTGACTTTGAGTATTCTCAGCTTTTTTACGCTGGTTTCTTCCCGTCATTGTAAATTTATCCTCCTGTCGTCTTTGAAATTACCAACTTTCAGATTAGGTCTCTTGAGTGGACGTCCAGGTTGTTAGTTCCCAGGGCCAGAGCAGCGGCGTTAAAACTAATGATGCTTTTCTGCCCAGGATTCTCCTGTCTGGCTTCCTTCTTGTGTCCGTAGTAGGCGACTCTGCCTTCCTGGGGCTCCAAACCTCGGTCAGAAGGGGAACCGGTCCCGTTTACTCTGCGCCGAGCGCTGCTGCGCCGAGGTGCCGTCACAGCTGCTGCTCCTGGCTCTGGTGTCATGCTGGGGGCCCGTGCAGGTCCTCCGAACCTGTTTACTCTGCTCCGAGAGCTGCTGCGCCGAGGTGCCGGCGGAACCACTGCGCCGGCCACGAGAGTCGCGCTGGCCACCCAGTAAGTTTCCTCCACTGGGGGATCTTCTGCTCCGTGAGCGACCAGAATTTTTCTGAAAGTGTGGCGTCCTCTAGTTCTCCGCGCCTTTCCTGAGAGCTGCAATCTCGGGATGTTAGCGATTGGCCATCTTGAATGGTTCTAACAAGTCAGTTTTCTATGCAACAGCAAGTTTCAGTTGTCCGATCAAGACCTATCTCTTTATTTTAGGAGCTTGGCAGCCTTACATAAGAACCCTCTAATTGACTTCACATTGGCTAGATGTGCTCAGGGTACCCTAGTGTCATTTGCATCTGCCTGGGTTCACCAACTTCTTGAGAATGTAGAATGTAGAGTTTTCCAAGGGTGGAGAGCTGCCCCAGAGGTTTTAGCACTCATCAATAGATGAATAACGATGCTTAATAATAATGAGGAAAGGAAAGAGTTAGAGTGGGGGAGATATTTTATAAAAGTCTAACATACTAGCTCTATTGGACCATATGTAACTTCTCAAATGAGATAAAGCCTTGTGGCTACAGCAACAAGATAAGAGAAGATACCCGTGGATGTCCAAACCTGCCAAGGGAATAAAAATGTTAACCAGGAGGGCATAAATAGGAAAGTGAAAATTTTCACCAGCTGAAACACAGCAAACAATAGGAGGTAACATGCTTCAGTGTTCTGTTTTATGTAAAGTATAAACTTCTGGTAAAAAAAAAAATTGCTTTTTATTAACAAAAATTTGTGAGGCATAAT